CTTCCTTCTTATTTGTCGCTCTCTGAGGTTTAAATTATAATAAACGTAGACTAGTTTATAAAGCTTCTCAGAAGCGAGTCGATTCTTCCTAGTAGTGTGCAACCATTGGAACGTACTCCAGTTGCGCTCACTGCTAGTAGCGGAACATTTCTGGGAGAGCACCTTGATTGCTATCCTCTTTAGGTGAGGTGCATCAGTACCATATATCTCCCACCATTCAGCTGGATTAAAATGTAAAAAGCATTGTAAGGGCAAGAACAATTCATAAGATTAAATATATGAATGAACAAAATATTAGCGAGGGGATAACCTGGATCCATCATAGTTCGAGAATTTCTGGCAAGTCTAGTTCCGAAGGATCCTATAGCATCCCTATACATAGCAAGCTAAAACAAATATATTACGTTTTAGTGCATTATTCCTCATAAATATAACAACTTAATGAAGTTCTTACCCAAACATTAAATAATACCTCTTGTATTGCTGCTACTTGGTTTTGATGGCTTATCTCTAACCTTGCAATAATGTATCTGACCCCTTCCATAATCTTCTGGGGTTGTTCAGGTGTCAAATAGAAAAATTTGGGGTTGAAGTAGTAACCTAAAAAATATATAGGTAGAAAAATGTCATTTACAATTTCATGAAAAAATGATTTAAATTGAAACATTGTAATGATATAAATATATATTTATCAGCATAATGAATTGGACGTCCAAATTTGGTGTTCCACCTCTTTTCTATAATCTCGATCACTTTGCTAGCAAAATTACACTTCTCCCCAATAGCTGATTTCGCCCTCTCAATACCTTCATAAAGGATACCCATGGTAGCTTTCTTGTCAGCATCCACCATTCTTAACACCGTGACCAAAGGGGCAGTGGCCTCTACAACTCTGGAACATCAAGACCAGAACAACCTATTTGAGATTATCTTGTCCACTTTTATACCGGTACTGAACTTCGAGAGGCGGTTAGTTAACCACTCTTCACAAGTAAACAATCTCTTTAATGCACCTTCAGATTCTCGAATGGAGTCCACAGCTAAGTAATCGGTCGCAAAGCGGGTTATGACAGGCCTGATTATCTCTTTTTTCTTAGAGTGTTCTCTAAACAGAAATAAAATTTTATGAGTGGTTGTATATAAATCTCGATACCAACCTTGCTTCATCTAGAGTCTCCTTTACAATTTTGATCTCACCGATCTCTCTAACATAAGATCGATGATGTGTGCAGCACACGGGATCCATACTAAATGCTTCCTCTTATCCATCAACTTGCTGCACGCAGAAACACATGCACGCGCATTGTCCTTAATAAACTGGACTACATGCTTATCTCCCACCACCTCCACTATCTGATCATATAGTCGTACGTAGAAGTTTGCATCCTTCTTCGTCCCTAATACGTCTTTGCTAGACAAAAAAACTGTACCTTTTGGGGAATAGGCCAAGAAGTTTAAAAACTCATTTTTGCTAACTTTATTCAACCAACCATCACTCATGAGAGTAATTCCTGTCCTTGGCCAACTATGTTTATATTCTTCAATCCACTTTTTAACTCCCTCTACCTCTTTATCTAATATTAGCCCATTGAGCTCATATGCCGTCGGGGGTTTTACCCCGGGCCCGACTCTTTGGATTGCACTAATCATAGGTGGAAAATATGGGCTATTGGTTGCATCAAAGGGAATCCCTTTATCGTAGAACCATTTAGCAACATATCTCCCTAACATGTTTCTTGTACCTTTAACCATGCCTTTTAGGGTCATCTGTTGTGACTTAGGCTTTGAGAGAAATGGGTCTTTATGACCATGACCTGCAATACTGGCACTCCTAGGTAACCTAGAAACAATTTCTTCAACAACTGATTCTCCTTGATACATATTGCCACCAATCCCTCCATACATATTTGAGTTAGGCCAGCCATACATGCTCGAGCTGGGCCCGCCATGCATATCTGAACTAGGCCCACCATGCATATCGGAGCTAGGCCCACCATGCATGTCTGAGCTATGCCCACCGGGCATTCTAAACCCACGTTCCCTCTAATATTGTTCATGTAAACTCAATCTTGTGGCCATGTCCAGCTCATTATTATATTGCTCTTCTAGGTCATTATTATATTGCTCTTCTGTATCATTCCTGCTTGATGGTGTATATAAACTAGCTATCTCCTCATTCATCCTATGTTTGGCAATTTTTTTACCTTTATTAGCATTAAGAATTGCCACCATCTGTTTTTTTACATTACTAGGGACACTAGTGCATGCAGAAACTTTTTCGTTAACCCCTACCAAGTGTTGCTTGAACCTATGTACCCCACTACTTATCACTCTTTGACAGTAATTACAAATAATTTTGTCTTTCTTGTTGGGATCAAGTCTGACCCCATGTTGCCATGCAGGGTCTTCTGCAGATCTTGACATGATTCAACTGTTTTAAGATGTAAAAAGTATAAAATTAACCTGACAGTTCAAAAAGAAAAATAATCACCATGTGTAGTGATAATATGTTGCTGTAGTTCATATAGTCATATTCATTGTTATTTGTTAGTGCAAAATACATTTTTTAACAATAATATTTTCGTACTTATCAATTACTAACATTCAGAATAATATAATACAAAATGCAAGCGCCAAACATGGCTACAACTCAATTATCAAGAACATACATTTTTTGCATTAAAAAATTAATAATAAAAACAATTCTTCAAAGAGCCAGCTAACATGAGTCATTTCAACTAAAAAATCCATGAACAACAGATAAAAAAAATGCAGTTTTGCATTAAAAATATAATAACATGCATTTTTTTGCATAAATTATCCATCAACATACAATTTTTTCAACAAAAACTTTAACAATAAAAATTTAAACTATGGTTTAATACCTCATGATAATTAAAACCTTGTCACGATTTTCACATCTTTTCGAAAAATCATCATTTTTCAAAAAATTCGATCATGGAAAAAAAAAAAAAATTACAGCAAACTCAAACAATAAAAATTAAAAATTAGGTTTAATACATCATGATAATCAAAACTTTATCACGATTTTCACATCTTTTCGGAAAATCATCATTTTTCAAAAAATTCGATCATGGATAAAAAGAAATAAAAAAAAAAAAGGAGAGCAAATTTTCAAAAAATTCGATCATGGATTGCAAAAAAAAAATCG